CAAATATAAATTACTTCGTTATTGTACCTAAATTAAATTATAATAAAAATTTGAATTAAAAAATTACACAAAAAATGAGGAATTTTAAATCGTTAATTTGATACGAATATCGATATATTTTTGTTATGCATAAAGTACTGTATATTGATGCATATTACTTAAAATAGTAATTATGCATAAGTACAACTTATTAAAGCTCGATGTTTGAATTCGTATAAATAACTGCAGATAAACATAATCAAATAGGGGATGAACATCTCATTTTAAAATATAAAAAATCTAAAATATAATTAAAATAATTATCGAGTTTCAACAAAATAAATAATTATTATCTTTATAAAAAAATTATATTATTAAATCAAATATAAATTGCTTCTTTATTATACATATAATAAATTATAAAAAAATTGAATTAAAAAATCACACAAAAAATGAGGAATTTCAAATAGTTAATTTGATACTAATATCGATATATTTTTATCAAATCTTTATGATATTTTTAAACATGTATTTTATTCAAAATTAAAAACTATTGTTTTTTTAAAATCACATAAAATCATATTATAACATCGATTGAGATAAAAAATATAATAAAATATTAAAATCACGATATATCTCGCTATATTGCAAAATACGCTTCTAATTTAGTTTGAAATGAAACTGGTTTCGATAACTATTGTTGTTGAATAAATGGTTTGTTAGTGAAACGTCACCTCAATTTTATCAACGGTGGTTATCCAGGTATATATTGAAGCTACACGTGTTTATACAAATCACCAAAACTCTTACACCTCAAACACGTCATTAATTTATTATATATAAATTGATGATAATTTATAATAACATGGTATATGATCCGTAAATAGTAGAACGAGAAGTGTAAGAATAAATCTCGACCCTTTAATTTATTTTGATTAAATGTTAAATATTAATGAGGTGCATCAAGATATACCGATCAATTCTCTTCTAAAACTTACTTAATTAATGGATGAGCATGAAATTAAAAATGATCAAGGGTTCGAATATCTTTTTACGTTTCTCATAATAACTTTCCTTCTCAAACAATCATTCTCTCTGATATCATATCTTACAGGAAATTAAACATCTGAATAAAATTTAACAGAAAATTTATTTGATTGTGTATTTGGTATATGGGAGATAAAGGTTGTATGAGAATATAAATTAAGTGCTCACTAGCAAAAGTCATCACTCTCATTTACCTTATATAGTAACATTTTTTACCATCAAAATGGAGATGGTAAGTGTTTATAACTGGGTAAACGCTTACTGGTTAAGACTCTTGATCATTGTCTTTCCTCTTACCGAGTAAGATTTTCGGTCATTGTTAAGTTCACTCGGTAAAGTAATTGAACTGGTAAGCACTTAGTAAGGTAAGTGTTCGTTAAACGGCCCTCACTCTCTTCCAGCATCCACTACTCCAACCTCATCTAACCTCATCTGCTCTAATATTGTCAGCATATATATAAAATGTTAAAAACTGGTACTTCCAAAAACCGTAAGTTCGATTAATGAGTAGTTTAACTCATAAGTACATCGTAAGGGATTTTTTAATTGTTTTTAAGATCGACTTTGATTTTATTTTTATCTTACATCAGAACTTTCCGTTACGAAACTGGAAATCTAAATTCACCCATAAGGTTGATGCCCGATAGGGATGGCAACGGGGCGGGGATGGGGCGGGGTTTGCAATCCCCGGCCCCGGCCCCGGTTTATATAAATAATCCCCGGCCCCGGCCCCGTCCCCGGTCAACTTTCAGTCAACCCCGGTCAACCCCCGGTCAACCTCCGGTCAACCCCCGGTTAACACCCAGTCAACACCCGTTTTAGCCCAATTATATATATCACTTATAAGCCCAAGTCCATAATAAATCTAAGCCCAATTATATATATATCACTTATAAGCCCAAATAATAAAAATGTTTAATATTTATATATATACCGGGTACGGGGCGGGTCGGGGGATACAATACCCGGCCCCGGCCCCAACCCCAACCCCGGTTTGCCTCTACCGGGGATCCCCGGCCCTGGCCCCGATACCCGTTTTAGCGGGGAATCCCCGTCCCCGTCCGGGTCGGGTGAACCGGGTTCCCCACCGGGTCGGGCCAAATCACCATCCCTAATGCCCGATTGGTTTAAGCTTAAACTCCAATGATCAAAAGTATCTGGAAGTCCCAGGTGCAAATCCAATGATGAATAAAATTTCCCCTTGTAGCCATGGAGATTAAAATGCAGTAACTTCGGACTACTTGCAAAACGGATGATCGTCCTGAGATTAGTCAGCTCGCATGGCAAATTGGATATGTAGCTTAATAAAAAAAAATCTAAATTCATGTTTTTGAAATATGAATTAAAACAAAGAGTAAAATATAAATTTGGTCCTTGTGGTTTGTCGAAAATAATATTATTGTCTCTTTCAACTTCAATGTTATAAGATAGTCATCGTGGTTTTCAAAAACGTCTGAATTGGTCCCTCCCTCTAATAACCATTAAAAAATCCGTTAAATAAGAGACATTTTCGTCATTTTATCGATTCTTTTGTTTTTTACTCAATCAAAATCGATTTTATGATATTGGTCCTTGTGGTTTTTAACTGGGTAAAATACAAAAATATAGATAAAATAATGAAAATACCCAAAATCTTACAAAAAAATTCAACAACCGTCAGAGGTAGAGATCAAATGCCGACGTTTTTTCAAACTACAATGATTGTCTTGTAATTTCAGAACTACAGATAAAAAACACTATTTTCAACAAAACCATAGGAACTAAATTTGTAATTTTAACAATCTAAAATTTAGTGGTTGTTTGTTTACCTCTTAATAGTTCCATTAAGAGACAACATCTTAATAGTTCCATTAAGAGACAACCTCTGAACCGTAAGAGGTAAATCTTGTTTGACAAAAAAAAGTTTGTCTCTTAATGGTTTTAAAACCATCTGAATGATTTTGTATCCTGACACTTCCTTAACCGTTAAGCGCCCTAATTTCATCGTAATCAATTACCACACAATTATATTTCATTTTGTATTATATCATGAGAGTATTTTAATCATTCTGAACAAAATCTTTCAGCAACCGACAAACAGCCCCGAAATAATAAAAAAATATGTTTTATACAAAACTTTGAATAATTAATGCAGGTATAGGTGTCCTTGTGAAAGCTCATAAATAAATGCTTCACCTGAACCTGCAATTGTGAAAGCAGCGCTCTCTAAAAAAAAAACCGACGAGGTGACCGGAAACAATCAATCGCTGGCCGGAAAAAATGGTGATCAGCACGACGATCGCCGATTATGATCAAAACCTACACTCTACTTTCGCTTCTAGATATGTCCGTACATCTCTTCCAAGGTAAATACTTAATTGTATCTTATCGAGTAAGGAGGTGTTTTATTTTCGTGTTTGTTTTTTACTTAACGAGCTTAATGGGTGGTTGGCTTAATTGTTAAGTTATATTAACATGTTTGATTTTAAATTATTATTAAAAGATTGACTTAGGGGTTGTTTGTTTACCTTTTAATAGTTCCATTAAGAGGCAGCATCTGAATCGTTAAAAGGTGAATTATGTTTGGCAAAAAAAAACATGTCTTTTTAATGGTTCTAAAACCCTCTGAATAATTTTGTATCATAGACCTCTCTTAACCATTCAGCGCCTAATTTCGTTGTAATAATTATATCTCATTTTGCATTATATTATGAGAGCCTTTTAATAATTCTGTATCAAATTCAGCAACTGTCAAACAGTCTCTTAACATGTTAAATTAGCTCATCTTATGTTAATATATTAAATGGTGTTTGGGATTGCTTATTTGAAACAATTTATGTTTTTTTACAAAAGTGTTTATCAACTTATTATAAATTAGAATAGTTTGACTTATTCAAAAACTTATTATTATCATTTGACACCGATATAAACTGTTTATCCAGACACTCAAAAGTGCTTATTACCGATGTCACACCAAAATAAGTCAATAAGTTGTTTTTATAAGCAATTTCAAACACACATAAGTTAGAATTTTTTTCCCAAAATTATATTATCCTTTAATTTTTAATCACACGTTTTATTAAAAATAAATAGTTTACCAACATACATATGTAATTAAACAATAATACCTTATTGTTTTTAAATATATTTTAAGTTATTAAATATTATGTTATGAGCTTGTTAAATTCAATATTTATATTATTTTATTTTTTTGTAATTTTAAATATTTATTATACAATTTATTTTCATTCTAAGACTTATTTAGACATAAGATTAAAATGGTAAATTTTGTTGTTCATATTATTTATTTAGTACAAAATTAAACATCAATTTATCTTAATTTATCCATACAGATTAATGCTTAGAGTAGATTCATTTTTGACATTTTATAGACCCTGGAGGTAAAAACGGGCACTTTTATTTATTAATTTTTTTGAACTACTAATACATACCATATAGTATATGTGAAAAAAAAAAACATATTGGACCCCTATTTTTGTGGACCCTGACGTATGCCCGACTCGTCCTTCCAGGGACGACACTGTATTAGAAACAACTGAATGTATTCAAAAGCAAACTTCCACGTAAAATCGAAGAATCTAATGATTTTTTCTTGAAACGATAAGAACGAATGATTTTGAATGACAATAAATATATCGCAGGTTTAAGATGCCCGATCAACCGATACCGAAGGATGCGGCATATCAGATAATAAACGATGAGTTGATGCTCGATGGTAATCCGAGGCTAAACTTGGCGTCATTTGTGACGACGTGGATGGAGCCAGAGTGCGATAAACTTATCATGTCATCTATCAACAAGAACTACGTTGACATGGACGAGTATCCCGTCACCACCGAACTTCAGGTCCATATTCATCTTCTAAAAAAATATACCGTATCGGAACTGTGAAACAACAAACGTTGATTTTAGGGAACTTTAATAGGCTTAATGGGACTCACAACTTATTCGGTTAGCTATAGATGACACTTTGGTAGTGGCTCAATGATATAAAAATTGGCTTATTCGGTAAGATGCTGGGGATCTTTATGCATAAAGTCAATTTTTTTCCAAAGCTATCCCTCCCAAATCCCAATTAAAAAAACACGTTTCTTCTATTTATAGAAAACCTCCCAGATAAAAAACCTTCCCGATCTATAAAGACAAATTAATACGCACATACTATTATCTATACGAAACTTAATAGTAGTGTTAAATTTTACTGGTAAGCACTTACCGAATAAGTATTTGGTAAACAGCCCCTTAGAAAATTGTGAACTTTCATTTATTTTGGTAAAAGAACGACTAAGATTGTCCCGTTTCCCTATAAAACGAGGCCAAACATGGTCTGGTCTAAATGAATCTGATATATCTCACTTGAAAGTAGAGTCTGCTTTTTTTTATATGCTGATCTACTGATATGTAATTTCCTGTGTTGTTTTAACATTGCAGAACAGGTGCGTAAACATGATCGCTCGACTGTTCCATGCTCCAATCGGAGAAGACGATACTGCTGTCGGTGTGGGAACGGTTGGATCATCGGAAGCGATAATGCTCGCCGGTCTCGCTTTCAAACGGAAATGGCAGGCCAAGAGAAAATCGCAAGGAAAAACTTGCGATAACCCCAATATCATCACCGGATCGAATGTGCAGGTTCGGTTATTTTTTTTAAATATACAATATTTATATAAATAAATACTCATGCACACTTCTCACCTTAACCTCCTGAGAGGTTGTGCTCTATCAGTAACCCGGATATTGTCGCGCCAATGACCATTTGGTCTATTTGCTCGATTCTTGGTTGTTTCAATTCAAAGCATCGACAAATTTCTGGTTTCAAACCACAAGGGTGGTGCCTGATTGGTTTGAGCTTGACTCCAAAAGTCAAAAATACCAGGAGGTCTCAGGTTTAAATCCAAGGAGGAATAAAAATCCTCTTGTGGCCACGGAGGTTCAAATGCGGTGACTCCGGGCTATCTGCAAAGCAGGTGGTCGCCCTGGGATTAGTCGGCTCGCATAGCGGGTTGGATATCCAGGTTAATAAAAAAAAACTGGTTTCATAGGTCTGCTGGGAGAAGTTTGCGAGCTATTTTGAGGTCGAATTGAAAGAGGTGAAAGTGAAAGAAGGATACTATGTGATGGATCCCGTGAAAGCGGTCGAATTAGTGGATGAAAACACGATCTGTGTGGCTGCGATTCTTGGTTCGACGATGACCGGAGAGTTTGAAGACGTTAAGCTTCTTAACGAGCTTTTAACAAAGAAAAACGAAGAAACAGGATGGAACGTCCCGATTCACGTTGATGCTGCAAGTGGAGGGTTTGTTGCCCCTTTTCTGTACCCCGATCTTGAATGGGATTTTCGTTTGCCGCTCGTGAAGAGCATCAACGTCAGCGGTCACAAGTACGGGCTCGTATACGCCGGCGTTGGTTGGGTCGTTTGGCGGACGAAAGACGACTTGCCGGACGAGCTCGTGTTTCATATAAATTACTTGGGATCTGATCAACCTACCTTCACTCTCAACTTCTCTAAAGGTAAAATGTCTCCATAGATGTTCACATATCTTGCTTCTGCATTTTGTGGGTCCCATTTAATAAACTACTTTATATGACTTAAGTTTATAGATTAAATCAATAGAACGTACTATTTAAAAGTGTTGCAATAAGTTTATAAAATGTTTCTAGGTGTTTTAACAAGTTTTATATAACATTTAAAAAATAAAGTGTCGTATTAGGACGCTTGCACATTTTTTGCGTCCTATAAACCCAATTTTGTTGCATGCATTGCATGTTTGCGTCTATGTTTTTGTGGGTCCCGTTTATATAATCCGGAAAACGTAGGCCAACGACAAAACGAGAACATTTGAAACTATTTATACATAGAGAGTGATTCTTTATGATGTGGATCGGGTTTAACATTTGTCTCGTAAACGTGAATAGGGTCGAGCCAGATAATTGCGCAGTACTACCAGTTCATACGACTTGGCTTCGAGGTAATTCCTCTAGAAATACTACTATTTTATCGTTTGTGAGGCGAGTTTGGGTGCACGGATTGGTAAAACGAGCCTGGGAGCAACGGGAAAGGTTGCTCATGTAAAATCTCATAATTTCGAGTCGAAACATTTTTGCAAAATGTAACGAAAATGGCGTATAATACATGTTTCCCTCCATGATCACGATGCACGTTTGGACCAAATGTGCTTCAATCTTAGTTTTTAGCTTTGATTCACTAGGGTTATCGGGATGTCATGAAGAACTGTAACGGAAACGTAACGGTGCTTAAAGAAGGGTTAGAAAAGACTGGGAGATTTAATATAATCTCTAAAGATGTTGGCATTCCTTTACTAGCGTTTTCGCTTAAAGACAGTTCAAGATACACTGTGTTCGATATATCCGAGTCTCTGAGACGATTCGGATGGATCGTTCCGGCATACACCATGCCACCGGATGCGCAACATATTTTGGTTCTCAGAGTCGTGATTCGTGAAGATTTCAGCCACAGTCTAGCTGATCGACTAATTGCGGATATCGTCAAAGTGGTTAACGAGATGGAAGATGCACAATCAATTGCGAGCATGAGCCATGCACATGATGGCACGCCCAGTGATCGTAGCACAAGGGAGATGCAACGGGGAATAACCAAATACTGGCGGCGATTTGTTCATGGTAAGAAAACGAGTAGCGTCTGCTAGTTGGTTGGTTATTTGGTTCATCGTATATGGGCCAACTTAATGACATGTCCTTCGATCGGCTACGAATACGCGACCGATCTAATACAGAGTTTTAAGACTTCGTTTTTTTTTTTTTTTGCAATTTCAATTCCTTGCCATCATACTTGCATTTCAATGATATGATCTCAATATAATCTCATATTACAAAAGGCTAGTGATGTTCAATTTCACCGCTAAATTCGGTTGAACCAAGTTAAACCAGACTCTTTTAGACAGTCTCAATGATTTGAGTGGTCCGGTGCAGTATGAAAAATAACTAAACTGCTTGGTCCGGTTTAGTATGTGGTTTGAATGTTCTTTTTTGAGCGATCTGGACCAAACCGACCGGCAAATATAAATTTCGTAATGATTATGAATAAATATGTTAAATTGTATAACTTTATTTGTATATTCAACATTATAATTATTAGTTTACAAAAATCTTCTTTATATATAAAAGTAAGATCCACAAGAAATGAAGTGGCACCCTGAGAATTGAGTATTATATATTTATTGCATAGATATTGAGTTTTTTGTATTCCACATTGATAGAGAGATGAAAGATTGACAATTGATGGTAGGTATATGAGATGACATTGATGTGTTTTTGTTTTTTAACTTATGGGTTTTGATTCTCTTGGATAATCCTATAAACTCATATCATTAACTCATGTTGGCTAACCCTCCAAACTCATAGGGTTGGTTCATTTTGGCCAACCCTTTGTTTGCAAAAAAAGTCATATTTGTAAAAAAAATATTTATATATATATATAGGGCCCTCTCTCTATATAAGTACAATTCACAAGAAATGATGTGACACCCTAAGTATTGAGTATTATATATTTCTTGCATTGAGGTTGAGTTTGTGTATCCCGCATTGATGAAGAGACGAAAAATCGACAATTGATGGTATGTATATAAGAGGAGGTTGATGTGTCTTTATTTTAACTCACGTGGTTGGGTTCTTTTGGTAATCCTATAAACTCATATCACTAGTTCATGTTGGTTAACCCTCTAAACTCATGATTTTTGTTCATTTATTTGCAAAAAAATTGTCTATATAAAAAAATCAATATATCATTACAAAAGAAAGCTATAAAATAATAAGGTGACATCATAAAAACCAAATATTTTAATTTTTTTGCATTGTAGTTGGATTTTGGGTATCCACATTGATTAGAAATTGATACGTCAATGAGGAAAATGAATATATAAGAGAAATATGAGTTCCCTTTAAAAATTAAAATGTTCATTTGGCTTTATAAGCCATGTTTATCTTTAAATGTTTGGAGCAATTGTCTAAACTCACGTGGTTGAATCATTTTGACTGAACTTTTAAACATATGTGGTTGACTCATTTTGACCAACCTTTTTTTATGAAACAATTAATCTATATTAAATATTAATTGAAAAGATAATTTTAATATGTTTTTGAAAGTAAGAAGCAGAACCGTTGATGTGGCACCCTAATAATTGAATATTCTTCAATCTTGAATCGTGATTGAGTTTTATACATCCAACACTGATTGAGAGTTGAAAGATTGACAAAAATGTTGGATATGTAAAATGAGGTCGAGATGCCTTTGTGACAATTCATGAGGTTGGTTCTTCTTGGTTGATTCTCTTAACACCCGTGGTTAAAGCATTTTGGCCGAACCTCCGAACACATGGGGTTGGTTCATTTTGGCCAACTCTCGTTTTGCAAGAAGGTTTAATCAATATTAAAAATTAATTATATATATAATCTTTATTTTATTTTATTTTTAAATAAGAACCACAACCATCAATGTGACACCATAAGATTGAGTATTATAATATTGAATTGTGATTGAGTTTTGTCTATCCCATATTGATAGTAGATAAAAGATTGACACTGAATGATAGATATATAAAGGAAGATTAAAGGGCTGTTTGGCGGTTGCTGAATGGTTTGGTGCATAATGGTTAAGTGGTCAGAATGGTTAATTAAGATGACCAGAATGGTTAAGTGATGAATGAAATAATGTTGTTTGGTAATTGTTCTCTGAATGACAGTAAATTACCATTTTAACCCTCATTCACATTAGGGATGCTACTTCAACCTTAAACACTTGTATGACCTAAATTAACAACAAACAGATCAAATGTTGCAAGAAATCAGTTAAAAAAATGGATCGATCGTGGAAGAAATCAAATTAGCTTCTAGTCAACTTCAAAAACTAAATCAGTCAACCCTAATCTACATCATCAATCAATCTAAAAAAATGTTGCAAGAAATCAGTTACAAAAATGAAAGTATCATCTCTGTGCTAGTTTCATTCATCTTTCTCATCCTCCTCCTTCGAAGAAACAACCGCAGACAAGGACCCAACCTTAAACACTCGATGGAGGCGGAGACGATGGAAGCGGAGACAATGGAGGCGGAGACGATGGAGGAGGAGAGGGGGACGGAGATGGTGGAGGCGACACAGCAGCAACTCGGGAGAGGCGACACAGCAGCAACTCGGGAGAGGCAGCAACTCATGGGAGGAGGCGAGATCGAYTGGAAGGAGGAAGGAGGGTGGGAGGCGTGGGAGGAGACGAGATCGATTGGAAGGAGGAAGGAGGGTGGGAGGCSTGGGAGGAGACGAKRTCGATTGGAAGGARGRGAGGGCAAAAATGGATCGATCGTGGGAGCAGCGGGCTGTTGAGGAGAGGGCAAAAATGGAAGAAGACCCCTCTGAATCGTTGAGGGGAGCCCTAGCCCCTAAATGGTTAAGAGCCTTTTGTAACCATTAAGAGGTTCTTTTTTTTTTGCCAAACAATCCTTGTCTCTTAGCGATTAAGAGGTTGGCTCTTAATGTCACCATTAAGAGCTGAACAAACATCCCCTAAGATGTCTCTGTGGCAATTCATAGGGCTGACTCCCTTGAACGATTTTCTAAACTCATGGTGCTTAACTTATTTGGTTGACCCTTCTAACATAAGATTTTTGGTTAATCCTCTTTTTGTAAAAGAAAAATTTATATTAAAAGTTAAATAAATAAATAAATTAAATTAATATATAATGCTATAAGATATTGATGTAACAAATTAGAATTTAATATTTTTAAATCATGAATTGTGGTTGAATTTGACTCGAATCTTAGTCCATATTAATGAGAAATTTTTGTACTGAAAAACAGTTAAGTATATGAAACGAGAAGTGATGCTTTAAAATATTAGAAGAGTTACAAATACACTATGAAAAACAGTTAAGTATATGAAATTAATTAGGGGGCGTTTGGTTCGAAGAATGATTTCTGGAGGAATGAAATCTGTCAAAGGAATTGCAATCTGGAAGGAATTGGAATGAAATGTTATCAGATTTGACCAAGTGTTTGGTTGGCAAGAATGGAATTTAATTTGTTTAATGAATTGGAATTTGTCTGTTTGGTTTGCAACAAAATTGGAATGAAATGATGAAAAAAAGACAAAAATACCCTTATTTCGATATTTTTTTAAGTTTATTTTTTTAAATTTATTTATTTTTAAATACAAATAACAATATAAATTAACATTTAATGAGGAAAAAAATGTTTACCATTTATTGATGAAAGCAGCTTTCGATCGAAGAAGAAATCGTCCGACCGAAGATGAAAGCGTTCGATTGAACAAAAGTGAAAAAGTGCGGCTAGTTTAATAGTAATAGAAGGGTATTTATGTCATTTAAACACTTATGGATGAGATGAAATTCAATTCCATCACATTTACTAAGGAATGGTAAATTTCTCAAATTTAGGAATTCAATTCCATTCTATGTGTAACCAAACATTGGAATGAAATTTGGTCAACGGAATTGACCATTCTAATTCCATCAGATTCCGGTGAATTCCGCCCAACCAAACGCCCCCTTGGTATTTTCAATTTTGAAATATAAGAATATTGATGTGGTTCACAATTTTTTGTATATTACTTGATATGTGTTATGATGACTCCCGTGTACTAATAAATAATTATAGTAATTATAAAAATTCAGAGTTCTAAGACTTATTAAAAAAAAGCCGTTTACAATACGATATAAAACGAGAATTATTGGTCGGAACTTGGAAAACATCATTACTCGTTAAAAATTGAGGGAAGTTTTCCCGCCATTTTCAGCAGCCGCAAAACCACTGGTTTCTTCTTCTCATTCTGCTACTCATCCAGATCAATTGAAGGAAGGGAGGAAAAGGGACCAAGTACCTGAGACAAAATGAGTGGAACGATGAGAAACAAAGTGCAGAGGAAATGCAAAATGAGAGGTTATACTCTTAAAGTAGAAGCCCTAAACGAGATCCTTTCTTTCTTGAGCAACTATGAAGATGCCGAAGATGAAGCTCTTGATCTCCTCCTCGATGAACTCCAACACCAATCATGTATTCTCTTTCATACCTTTTCACTATGTCTTCCTACGTTTTTAGTAAGATTTAGGGTTTTTGTGGTTTATGATTTTGTAAATTTGAATCCTGTGGTGGAACCGCATAATCTGTAAAGAAGCTGAAATTGGGTACTTCCGTAACTTCAAAATTGATGAGGATTTTAACTTTTTCTTGAGGAAAAACTGCCATTTTAAATAAAGAAGCTTCGTGTTGAATTTGGATGCCAAATTGGTTGTTTTCAACTTCAGAAGATATGGATTTTGAAAGTTTCTAGAAGGAAAAAGTTGATGGCTGCTTCAAACTCTATACCAAGTTACTACAGCTAGGGTAGTGTTATTACCAATTTGCAACAAAATCCTAATCAATTTTGTATTTTAAAGGTTTTAGTTGACATTAAATATAAAAAAAGGATATAGCTTTTTTCTTTTTTGGTTAGACTAGAGTAATAATTTACTGTAGAATTTACCTGCCTTATAATCTGGTGGGTTTATTGATTTCTATCTTAATGATGAAATGAGGCAGTGAAGTCTTCAATTCTGGATAAGGAGCCTGTACAGCGTGTCGTAAGCCTGCTTTGTGAAGCTGGATCTGCAGCTGAGGATAATCTTAGTACAAGTACGACTTCATCTTTCAGCGTAATTGACGCCTTTCTCATTCCAAAGTTCCGCTATGATCCTATCAGAAAGATGTTTTGCGAGTAAGTATTTTGCTTTGGGGTTTGTTTCCTAGTCGTTCGGTCACCATTTTAGTTACTATATTTCTTGGCTTTCTAGCCTTATAAACTGTGATGTATTATAATTTACTAGTAGTGCAGCAAGAAGATATTACAGTCCTGGGTAAATAGTTAGAGGTATCATATCTTAAGCCAAACCTTGTACAATTAGTAAAGGATGTCTTCTTATATAACGTATAGTTGCATATGAATTTGTCATATGATGTATGGACTGTGTATGGAAAATCCTGCATGTTTTATATCCAGTCATCTAGCTAGCCATTTCTCTTGAATCCAGTCTATATAGGTCGTATTACCTGATGTATTATTCTGCCTACTAAGTGACTAAATAATTTATATTTGTGCAAACAAAAGAAGAGAAGCCATGCCTTGTTCAATTAAAATGATATTTTCAGACTTGGGGGGAGAATATAAAAAAAGACTGTTGTATAGTTTTTTGATATCTGCAAATGAGGGCTGGAATGATCATCATTTGTTTTAGCTGAAACTAATATTGAAATCAATTGTTGTCATTTATGCATCTTTCATTTCATGTAGACACACAGGGAGACTTCCGATTCACGGTGATGCTCCTGCAAAAGCTTGGCTGTACAGGGATAGATTTCTTTTGTTGTCTCAGAGGCTATCTCGTATTCCACAATTTTCTAGTCCTTCATTTAATACTGAATTATCTGAGTTTGGGAGCTGTCAGGTTCTCTCTCTTTCTTTCGCTCGCCCCCTCCCCCCCCCAAAAAAAAAACACTTCATTCTTTGCATAACACAGAGCTAATCTGATTGAAGGCAATGGCCTTTCATTTTATTATGAATGAAACTTCTTTTTAACAGTGTTGTGCCTTTCATTTTATTATGAATGAAACTTCTTTTTAACAGTGTTGTTGATTCCTTTACTTTGTAGATATCTCAAATTCAATCTCTGGTTGGACGTACTGGAATAAGCTGGGTGATGGGTGTCATATCTCAATTGGAAGATGGCCACTTTTACCTGGAAGACCTTACGGCAGCTGTTGAAATCAATCTGTCCAATGCAATATCCTTAATCACTTGATTTCCTTTGCTCAATAGTTATGTTGCATTGGATAAGGTTCTTGGAAGTATTAGATCATAATGGACATATTTTAAAGATTGGTATCCATAAGCATATACATGAAACAATGCAATAGTATCTTAGTTGTTCTACTGGCTACAGCATTTTCATAATATGCTTTGGTCTTGGTTAATTATCTGTGTCCATCTTTGTGTTACAATATGCAATTTTATCAAAAGAATTCAACTATTTTGAGATGGATTAAGAATGAGACTTATTAGACTCCAACGGAAGTTGCGGCACTTGAATGGAACTGTCATAAAGTATTAGCATGCCATCATATTCTCATTTTAAGGCAAAGTTGATTATCATATTCCAACCAATCAAATCTTTTTTGTTGCTTCCTTCTCTTGTTACTCTATGTTGGCCATGTGAAATTCACCAACTTTTTAGGCCAATGTCTTGTTTGTATCAAGCATGATGTTTTGCATTTATATTATTTGTTTGTTACCTTTATCTATTCTTTTTTGGAGGTCTTTCTGTTTGGACGATTCATTTGATTGTTATTGAACACATCTTACTTGGAATGCAATGTAGTTAATGTTGCTATAGCAGAGACATACAGTGACAAAAATTTTCTTTGACATTAGTTACAAGATAACAACAGGGTATTTTTCTGAGAACACCATAGTTTTAGCTCAAGGGGAGATGATGTTAGATGGTACTTTCCAGGTCAGTCTTATTATACCTTTTTACTAAACCTTGTTAAACTTGCTCTGATTCTCGAGAGTGGCATCAAATTCTAAGCTCATCTAACTTGAAGAGCTAATGGTTCCTCATAGACCTATGAAAGCCTTGACTCACAGCATGTTACTGTAGTCTTTGTTCTTCTCATTGTAACTGCTTCTAAGTACCTACAAAAGGACTGTCTCTCAAACAACAAATACACATTCTCTCTCTTAACTTTGTGTTTTCAGTTCCACATACTTCGCTAATGTGATGTTGTGGCTGATAATTGTTCCATTTCTTTAGGTTTTGTTCTACTCAGCTGTACATATCTCATGTTCCATTGGGTTTTCTTGCACATGCAAACATGTTTGACATTGCATCATAAGATAGACCATCCCATTGCTATTTTGTAACAGAACTTAATTAATAGAGATATCCATGTTAAGAAAGAAGATACTAGAAATGCTGATGGTTGGAACCCTGTGAAAAATTAAAGCAAATTTCATACCAAGCTTGTTGGGTGTTGAAAATTAACTTCGTTATTTATTTTTGACTGCTTACATCTGCACATGTATTTTACATGGAAAGGGTAATAATAGTGCATTGATTTCCTCATCGATAGAGTGCATTTTGTTTTTCAAAATTCCTTTTGGAAGGATGGAATCAACTCCAGGTCTTCTCATATACCAGAACTTTGGCTGAACAAAATATATGGGCCTTGATTATTGGGCCATTTCATCGTGCTAGCTACTTTTTTTCTGTAACCATGGGTGTCTAGGCCAGCGTGTGCACACCTCGACTAATCCCATGGGTCCCTGAAGATAACATCCCCCGTGGCCCTGAGGAGAAGACCTGCGACCTATGTGGAGGAGCCCCAAGGTGTAGCATTCAATTGCGAGTTTAGCTAACCCTCAAGGTTTTATGCTGCCTGCTTATGTGTATTTATATATTTGCATCGCACAGGATAAGAGCTTATGGAAGCCAAGCCAACTATTCTATGTGCATTCATTCATTTCCGGCGGTGTTATATCAAATTTGATGCTGAGGTTCCTTTGTCATATTGTTTGGAACATGCAATAATCTAATGTGATGGTAAATATACAGTATTCAGAAGTTAGAGGGGGAAATATAAGCCATAAAAATTCGTATGATATCTGTTACATTTACAGTTTGTAGAGGTCAGCTAAAGAAAGCTCCAGAAGGAGGTCTGTGGCTCTTAGCAAGCAGGTACTATAAGTTGGGAATCTAGGATTAGTGGCATGGTTCTCGAGGATGAACAGGTGGGCAACGAATTCGACGTGGTAGTGGCACTGCTCATCAAGTTCTATAAGCTATGATCTGATACCTTGTGACTGAATAAACCGAGCCAAACACCACCGGAGGTGGGGTGGGGTGGGGGGGGGTTGTAAAATGTAACTAAGACCATCTACCCCCAAAGAGTAGCAGCTGTTTCCATGAAGATCACCAGCTTGTGAAAAATGTGTAAAAGAGATAGAGGCAAATATTAGAAGTTATTAGAAAAATTAGTTAAGAGCAAGCAATAACATATAAATAGAAGCAGGTACAAGAGAAACATGATGTGTTATCCAGCAAGGAACCCTGAATATATATCACTTTGGATTGGCATTTGGCTTAAATAGATGAAACATACAAAAAATAATACATCTAGCACAAATGAAATGTTTCTTTTTAATTATGCAATGAGTTGGGAGATACATATGTTATACTTTGATGAGTCATTTATGATTCTCCAGCAAGATGGCTTGCAACATCATCTATCTTTTTAATTCTGTTAGCAGGCTATTAATACTTCTTGCTGGTTATAATTTCACATCCAGTAAACGTTTGTTGCTAACTCATAGTTGTCATTGACTCGTTATACCTGATATTTATCCAGGTTCAAACATTTGGTTTTCCACCATTAGAAGACAGAGAGAAGTCAGCCTCTATGTTTACGGGGCTTGATTATTTCGGTGGTGGTACACTTCCCAAAGAGGACACTGTATCCTTTCTCAGGCATTTGGCGACTGTAATTTGCTTCAAGTAACTATAATTTAATAGCTATGAGACTCCTATTGCTTAAGTATGCGATAAATATTTTGAAAAAAATCAATAGCCACGAGACTTTTATTTCTCTGTAGTATTAACAGAAACAACCGCTCTAGTCTTTGAGGGTCAAGATCAGATTTAGGTACATCTCACCCCGACCCCATCTCTGGGTGAGATATATTGTGCTCGTTTGGTTTGGTTTATTTTGACAAAATTGTGTTGGAAGTTTCCTTGATTGTTTCTCCAGCTTAGACTTGCAGAGATGGAATCAAGAGCAGTCAATGAAATGTTTGTCATACTGTCTGACATATGGCTGGACCATGAGGAGGTATAAAGTTCGTATTAATTGTCTTTTCTTTGTATTGATTAACAGCAGACTTTTGCATGCCGGGGGTCTTCACAAAAACAACTGCTGTACTCTTTTGGGGGTAGAGGTGAAGTGTGCATACATCTTACCTTCTGCAGACCCCACCTCCGGGTGGGATATGCTGGTGCTTTTGGTTTGGTTTGGTTTTAGACTTTTGCATGCATTGCCTAATATCTTGATTATCTTTTTTATTAGAGAAGACCATGGCAAAGCTAGAGACTGTGCTAGATGGTTATGAAGATGTTGAGGTGGTTCCTTCTCTCTTCGTGTTGATGGGAAATTTCTGTTCCCATCCATTTAACCTTTCATATAATTCTTTCTCAAGTATCAGGTGAGATCTCTGATGTGATGCTCTTGGTACTTACCTATGAACTAATTATTGCTTGACTAGTTTTTCAGATTTTTTTCATTTGTCTCTGTCTCTCTTTCACACACTTTTTCACAAGCCGTTCTACTCCTCATGTAGAGGTCAAGCCAACATACGTCTTACCCATCCCCAACCTCTGTGTGGGACATACCGGATTCTTTTGGTTTGTTTTCTTTTTTATTGAATTAAGAAAAGGGGACAACTATCCATACAGATTGAATTTTGGAAAACTTGGGCAAATGATTGGAAACCATCCACGGTTGAAAGAGCACAGTAGATTCCTTTTCATTCCTGGACCTGATGATGCAGGTGAATAACATTGATTGCTCTACCCGTTCTTTTGCAGTTTCTTGAATTTAATCTTTTGTACTTGGCATGTTTAGGCCCTTCAACGGTTCTACCTAGGTGTGCGTTACCCAAATATATAACTGAAGAGCTCCAGAAGCACATCCCAAATGCCATTTTTGCAAGCAATCCATGCAGGTACATCTGCAATTCTCTTATTAGATGTCACATGCATATAATCTATATCTAGGTTATAAAGCTTTGGTCAAAGTCTTAAAAATACCCTTTAGGCATTGGCACTGTTGATTAGTGCATATATGTAACTATTTTCTGCGTACAAGTTCTTGAACTTCATAAAGCTAATTAATAACCAACTGATAAACTCGTTAGATACAAGATACTACTCTCCATCATTATGTTTATCCAAAAAATAACTTTTTAAATCTAAAATATTTAAATTATGATAAAGATTTGACTTGAAACAAATTATACCAAAAAAGGGGAATTTTATTATCCTTTAATTTGATTCCCATGTCAACATATTTTTTTGGGTTTTTTTTACCGGGTCGTCAAATTAGTAAGACATGGTCAACCAACACTTGTAATTTCTATTTTGTTCAAAAGAAATTTGGGATTTTCTTTTTCAATAAGCAGTTGCATTAATTTTTAATTCTTATTTTACAAAAAAAATCCTACACCCCCCTACATTGAACGGCTACACAGACTAGCCTTTGAAAATTATAGTTTTCTCTTTAAAATATTAATGAATAAGATTCATGGTTTGAAAGTTTACGAAAGTGATGGTATTCTGATGCACAACTTAAGTTCTTGCTACGACTACTTAAGCACTGTCAACTTTCTTATCACTGACATGCTTCTTCTTCTTGAAATCAGAATCAAGTTCTATACTCAGGAAATAGTATTTTTCCGCCAGGATCTACTTTACAGAATGAGACGATCTTGTTTGATTCCTCCTTCAACAGAAGAAACCAGTGATCCTTTTGAGCATGTGAGTTCAAATTCTTGCGATTATTGATCTTGCAGTTCATTAAAGCAGGCAGTAATTATAATCTTATCTTTGATGCAGCTTGTTGCTACCATAACACATCAAAGTCATCTCTGTCCTCTTCCTTTGAGTGTACAGCCAATTATCTGGAATTATGACCATTGTCTCCACCTCTATCCAACTCCACATACGGTGAACTTCTAACATTTTTTTCTATTAATCTTTTGTTCTATTAGTTTTTACTCGTGTATTCTAATTTTCATGTTTTTAGACATATGAAGGATACCTTCTAAAAATGGATATCTAAGGTGCCAAACTAGATAAATTAAGGGGTGTAGCAAAGTTGGTTCCAGGGTGGTATAGTAAGTTGCACTTGCACAAATAGGTGAAGGTTCGAGTCCGGCATCCGTGAGTGTGTGAGTTACAATTCCTTTGGAGATTGGGCAGAGAACTCAGAGACCATCCGATTTAGTGTCTCTCACTTTCTCCCTAGAGGCAACTTTGGAAGGAACTGGCATGTAGTGAGGCATTGCACATTAGCAACCATTATGGGATATCAACGACATAAATTTTGTGCAAGTTATCTCTTTGTGGGCACTAGGCTCTCAAGGCGACCACCTAGTGGGCCACTATGTACCTGATTTGCCTCTCACATGATGCTCTTGGGGTAAGGCGGTGTGGGCCAGCACGGGGGTTGCCGGGCGCAAACCCTTTTGCACAAACTAGATATATTAATCATTCTAATAGTACATTAAGTGTAGGGCATGAAAATCACCATATGACAACAGTTATGTGGTTTCTGTTAGAGATATTAGAGGTATAGGATATCCCTGTTTAGTATGGTATTTAGGGTTTTACGTCTAAGCACTTTGGTTCACATTGTTTCTATGTATTTTTGTATTTCTTGAAATTGTGTCCTGTAGTTTTCATGGTAGGTCGTGTGCGTGACTTTTGGTTCCTATTTGATTTATCTCTATTTCAATTATTTCGGGCTCTTGCAAATATTCAAGTTGTTTAAGGATATATTTTGGTAGGGGATGTGGTGACAACTCACAAATAGGTTTGGTTAGTAGTTCACATGGTTTAGTTAGCAGGACCCATGGGTATTTTGGTCATTTACTGTCATTTCATTCCAATTCTGAAGCTACGTCATACAAACCAAACAGACAGATTCCAATTTCTTCAAATGATTCCATTCCATTCCATTCCATTACCTGCTAACCAATTAGCATAGTAAAACTTGATTTGACAGATTCCATTAAGAATCCATTATGTGAACCAAACGCGCCTAAGTGGTTTTTAGATGCCGGTTGTTATGGGCCTGCTCATAACGGGACGACCTAGAATCTGAACATCCTCCAAAGTGGTCAGGTCTCCTGAGCTCCTGCATTCATCTTATTTGTGTTCACCAAAGGTATTCAGATGTCCGAGGATGAAAATAATTAAACATTGTACTTAAATCATATAAATCAAACCAAACGAACCCAGTATATCCCACTTGGAGGCGGTGTCTGTGAATGGTAAGATGTACGCAGACTTGAACTCTATCCCAAAGAGTAGAGCATTTGTTTATGTAGAATCCCGGGTTGTGAAATGTGTGACAAAGAGAGTCTGATACGATAAAGGGGCTGCTTGTTTCGTCTGTTGTAAATTTCTGGGTTTTATGCCCATACATTTGATGTAATTTAATATTGGAAGAATTGCGATGGAACGTTATTTGTTTATTGCAATTCAGTATTTAACAGAAAGTCGTATTTGTTATCGTTTGATCTTATTACAGATTGTATTGGGTGACAATAGCGAACAGAAGGCTTTCAAGTACACCGATATTACTTGCTTCAATCCGGGTTCTTTCTCAAATGACAGCACTTTTGTGGTATATCGACCTTGCAATCGAGAAGTTGAACTCTCGGCCCTCGATGCTTAAATACCCGATCATCCGTTATCAGTCTTGTGAACTAAAGAAACAAAGTATTTATAATGATCATACACAGTTCCAGAAATTAGCGTTTCTTGTTTTTAGGTCGATTCCATGATTAATTTTTCGAGTTTGCACGCATGTAACGTAAAGAGAGATTGGTTCAAAATCGAAACATATTTATCAGCAATCAATGTCAAATCTATTTGTTTGACTTGTTTCATTCTGAGATATTCATGGAAACAGTCTTTCAGATCCAGTCCAACCGGGATATATTTGTTCTGGTTGTTTGATTTATTTGCCGAAGCTTCATTTTTCTTGATCTTTTTTATCGTGTCATGTCAATAACCACCTGGGGTGTGGTGAACTGGTTTAGACACGGGGATGTAGTGGAAATCTTATCTCCATGGCTTGAATTCAAGCACTGCCAAAGCCCTTGTGACCATGGAGGTTCACCTGCTATGCCATGATTTATTAGTTGGTGTACATAAGTTGATCTGGATACCTACAGCTAGGGGTTGTTTGTTTACCTCTTAATAGTTCCATTAAGAGGCAACATCTGAATCGTTAAGAGGTGAATCTTGTTTGGTCGGAAAAAAGTATGCCTCTTAATGGTTTTAAAACCATCTGAATGATTTTGTATCCTGAATCTTCCTTAACCATTAAGAGCCCTAATTTCATTGTACACAATTACCAAACAATTATATTTTATTTTTCACTATATCATGAGAGCCTCTTAATTATTTTGCACCAAACCATTCAGCAATTGTCAAACAGCCCATCACACACAAAAAAACCTTGCTATAAGTTAAAATATAATAATAAAATAATTTAAAATGAATTGATGTTTAAAAGATATCTTAAAAAAAGACTAATAGAACAATGTACTTCTTTTGTCCTATTAGGTTGTCCAACTTCGTTAATAGAATTTGGATTATCTAACTTCGTTTTAACAGCTTATTACAACACCGTTGCAATCTACGATGCTAAGTTGTTGGTGCTATAAACATAAAATTTAAGTGCTGCTGGCCCCAGGTTCATCGAAGCCGTTAAATTCGAGTTCGACTTCGCCACATTCGACATTTTGCAATCTGAGAAACATACGTTGAATGACCTTTCCGTTTTCCCACGTTATATGGCTTTCTTCCGACAAACAATTTGCTCGGCCGGGTGGTATTTTCTTTAGAATGGTGCCACTCGGAAGGTTTTTCCGAAGTTGGGTCTGCGAAACGTGGATAAACTGTTTGATGTCTAATTCTACATCTCCCATTTTGTCATCCAAGGTAAAGTTGTCATGGTCGTACACTGTCTGTAGTCATAGAACGTGGAACCCCATTAGATTACTCTTTAAAAAAATCCTGACGGGAGGTTCCAACATATATAGAGAAAAATCGATCGAGAGCATGATATAAGATCAAAATAGGTAACAAGCACGTGCGCGTGTGTACATACACAAATATATATATATATATATATATA